GGCCTGCCAGGCAGGAACCCAAACCCTATCTGAGGAAGGCAGAAGCAGTCAAGCACTCTGGGGACCTGCAAGGAATCGCCAGCCCTAGTTGTTTGTCTTCCTCTCAGAAGGCAAGAAGGACCAGGCCCCAAATGGCCCTCTGGAAGTGAAGGGGCTGGAGGACCTTCAACTGGAAGAGGAGCAGCCCCTGAGCCAGGCAAGGGAGGACTGCTGGAGAGGCGAGGACCAGCCTGTCAAGAGGAGCTCATTTCGGATCTCACAGGATACATGACACTCCTCCCCCCCCCACACTGATATTGGTTTTAGAGCCCCTCGGGGATTCCAGAGGGGAGAGGGTGGAGCAAGGGCTGGGGGGGAGAGACTGGGACTCCCCACAGAGGAGAAGCAAAGCAGCTGCTTGGGCGACCTTTCACCTTCTTGGGGTCACATTTAGGAAGGGGTGGCGACATTCCCAAGACTCATCAAGTTTGCAGACGACACCAAGGTGCAGGAATAGCCAACCCTCCAGAAGTTACAGGCTTAGGATACAGGAGGACCTGGACAGACTTGAACACTGGGCGCTATCTAACAAAATGAAATTCAATGGTGAAAAAAGCAAGGTTCTACATTTAGGCAAGAAAAACCAAATGCACAGGTATAGTATAGGTGGCACCATGCTCAATAGTAGGAACTGTGAGAGGGATCTCGGAGTCCTAGTGGACAATCCCTTAAATAGGAGCCAGCCGTGTGCTGCAGCTGCCAAAAAGGCCAACACAGTGCTGGGCTGCATTAACAGAGGGATAGAATCAAGATCACATGAAGGGTTAATGCCACTTTACAATGCCTTGGTGAGGCCACACTTGGAATACTGCATCCAGTTTTGGTCACCACAACGTAAAAAAGATGTTGAGACTCTAGAAAGAGTGCAGAGAAGATAGATAGATAGATAGATAGATAGATAGATAGATAGATAGATAGATAGATAGATAGATAGAAATAGAGATGAAAGAGATAGAGACGATAGATGATAGATATAGAGATGATAGAGATGATTAGAGAGAGGTAGAGAGATAGAGATAGAGACATAGAGATAGAGGTGATAGAGATAGAGATGATATAGAGATAGATGATAGAGATAGAGATGAGAGATAGATAGAGATACTGTAAATGCCGGCGTAAAAGACGACTTCCGCGAGCGCTGAAATCGGCGCCAAAGATGGGAGTCGTCTTATACGCCGAGTCGTCTTATACGCCGGAAATACTGGTAGTTTCTGGCGTATAAGACGACGTTCTAGGAATGCAGCCCGGCTATAAAGACGGGGGTCGTCTTATACACCGGGTCGCCTAATATGCCGGCATATACGGTATATACAGATATGTAGCAATCCCACGTCATCAAGAAGGAAGCTCTGGGCGATTTTTCCAGCGTCTGGCTGAAATCCAAGTATATGGATCCTGAGTCACCTAGTCACAAAATGAAAATGTTCTAGTGTTGCACCATCACCGGGCAGCCTCTGCCCCTCTCAGGTGTGCATGGTTCGACTACCACACCTCTGTGCCACAGGATTCACTTCAGCCTTCTCGAGGCCCATACAAAAAAGGGGGGGGAGCCTGGACTGAGGCAGCAAAGTGCTGTCTTCATCAAGCTCCCCCCCTCCTTTAACCTGCCTGTTGGGTCCAGAAAATGGCGCAATGCCAGAGGCCAGGAATAAGAACGAAGAAGATGAAGTACCCAGGCAGGACACACAATTCCAGGAAGGAAGAGGCCACGTTGTACAGTCCCAGGGGCGTTTTTTCCCTTTTGCCTCCAGAAATGCACAGTGTGTGGAATGTAAAGCGAGAGCCGGACCTCTGAACAAAGGAGAACGAATGGGAATTATGGCCGTAATTGAAACTGGGGTTGAAGAAACTCACGGATGGAATGGAGGGATTGAAACTTATTCCAAAGGAGCAGGCCAGAAGGTGGGGTGGGTGGGTGGGTAGGAGGGGCCCGATGTATGACGGAAGGCCACACACAGATCGGGACCCAGAAAGGGCAGCAATGGCAGAGCCCAGCTGAGACAGAGGTCCGTGGGGAGGGTGCTCTTAACTGCCGGGCCAGGCAGACCTACCGGATCAGATTCCAGGACTTTGGGGGAGAAAAGACCCTGGAACAATGGAAAAACACCCGAGCTGAACTGGAAACCCCAAAGATTTTCCGTGGTGTTGCTGAGTGTCGCTTTTTCCAAAGAGTTAGAGGAGAGCCAAGGGGGGGGGGTCTCTTCCATCCAAACCTAAGCAACAGAGAAAACCGGCTACAGAAGACAAAGGAAGGGAGGGAGCCCATCTTGTTGGGTTTAAAATAGCTTTTTTCTTCTCCTTCAGTCACGTCCTGTTCACAGAGAGGGCCTGTATAAGCCCCTGCGGTTTTCTTGGCAGGATTTTGGAAGTAAGTTGCTCTTGCCTGCTTCTTGGGGCTGAGAGGGAGGGGCTGGCTCAGGGTGGCCCAGCTTTCTTTGTGCCCAAGACAGGACGGGAGATGCGTCCAACGGGCTCCCAAGAGCCAGAGACAGGCAGTCCTCAACTTACCAGCACAATCAAGACCAAAACTTCCGTTGCTAAGCAAGGCAGTTGTTAAGTGAGTTTTGCTCCACTTTACGACCTTTCTTGCCACAGTGGTTAAGTGTATCTCTGCAGTAGTTAAGTTAGGAACACGGTCATTAAGTGAATCCAGCTTCCCCCATTGGCTTTACTTTTTTTTTTTATTGAAAATTTTAAAAAAATTTTACAGTAAAATCCCCTTCCCCAGTCCTTCCCAACCTACCCCAAAACCCTTCCCCAATCTTCCCAGAGCTGAATACAGGCTTAACTAGAACTTAAAAGAAAAAAAAAGAAAAGAAAAAAATTTTTTTTTAAAAAACCCAAATAAACCTTAAACAAATATAGTTACAATCAGTAAACAAATTATAAAATACTTTAACTCCATTATATATAAAGAACAGAAAGAGGAAAATTAAATGTAAATTATTCAAAAGCTAGATGGTATTCTCTTGTATCATACTTATATTATATAAAATTTATCCATATCTATAATTCAAAACTTCCGTTTCTTTCACAATTAATAAACCAATCATCTCTCTAACTTAATAACATTACAAAATATCATATTGCATATAAAGTGAATTAGTTAGAATCTAATCCACCATTAAAATATTATAAACTTTAAGTATAAATTATTCAAAAAACTAAACAATATTTTCTAATATCATACTTATATTATATAAAGTTTATCCATCTTTCTTTGTTATCACCATCAAAAACGCACATATAAACATTGCTTGTACCATTAAAATTCCCTTATACATATTTAAAACAAAATATTCCTTTAAATCCTCCTTAGGTTTCTAAGCATGCACTACTTATCTAAAATTTTCATTCAATCTCCCTAATATCGTACATATATTATATAAAATTTATCCCTCTTTCTTTGTCATCACAATCCAAAATACACATATAAACATTAATTGTACCATTGAAATTCCCTTATACATATTTAAAACAAAATATTTCTTTAAATGCTCCTTAAATTTCTAAACATACACTTCTTATCTAAAGTTTTCATTCTCCATAATCTTCTCTCCTCTTTTCCAATGACCAGTTCCATCCGCAATGGACTATAATTTGTCAATAACCTTGAAGCAATCTGTACATTCTTTACCCATCTCTCTTAACCAATAACCTCGAAAAAACTGCTTGAAGATCTGCCATTGAAGATTGCGCCAAAGAATTCTTAGGTCTTGCTTCCCCCATTGGCTTTTCTTGTCAGAGTGTCGCAAAAGGGGATCGTGTGACTCTGCGACCGTCATAAACACAGGCCAATTGCCAAGCGTCCAAATTTTGATCATGTGGTCATGGGGATGCCACAACGGTGGTAAATGTGAAAAAGTCACTTTTTTCAGTGCTGTTGTAACTTTGAACAGTCACTAAATGAATGGTTGTAAACCGAGGACTGCCTGCATATTGTCAAGATACTAGAGAAAAGGAAATTGGAACATGATTGTGCAAGCATACCCACTTTCAGAGAAGCCAGCCCCAACAGTCCTGGGGGTGGGGGAAGCAGTGGCAGTGAGACGCTTCATATGGGGGGGAAGCAACGGTGGCAGTGGAGTGCTCCGTCGGGGGGTGAAGGAAGCAGTGGCGGCGAGACGCTTCATGTGGGGGGGGGAAGCAGTGGTGGTGGACGCTTCATCTGGGAGGAAGCAGCGGTGGTAGTGGAGTACTCTGTTGGGGGGTGAGGGAAGCAGTGGTGGTGGGGTGCTTCATGTGAGGGGGGAGCAGCAGCGGCAGTGGAGTGCTTTATCAGGGGTGGAAGAAGCAGTGGCAGCAGGGCACAGTGTGGGAAGAAGCAGCGGTGGCAGTGAAGCGCTCTGTCAGGGGGGTGGGGGAAGCAGTGGCAGTGGGACATTTCATGGGGGGAAGCAGCGGTGGTGGTTGAATGCTCCGTCGGGGGTGGAGGAAGCAGTGACGGTTAGACACTTCATCCAGGGGAGAAGCAGTGGTGGTGGTGGAATGCTCCGTCAGGGGGTGGGGGGAAGTAGTGGCTGGCAGCGGGGTGCTTCATGTGGGGGGGGGGAAGCAGCAGTGGCAATGGAGTGCTCTGTCGGGGGGGGGAAGCAGTGGCAGTGTGGTGCTTCATGCGGGGGGAAGCAGCGGTGGTGGTGGAACGCTCCCTTGAATGGTGGGTGAGGGGAAGCAGTGGATGGTGGCAGGGTGCTCCGTGCAGGGGGGGGAGCAGCAGGGTTTTGTGGCTCCCGGTGTTTTCTTTTCTGTGTTAAATGGGTCCAAATGGCTCTCTGAGTTTTTAAGGTTGCCGACCCCTGCCCTACAGAGAAAACTTTGACTCTGCCAAACCATACCTGGCTTCCCTGCTTCCCAAGGGGTCCAGACTGGTCCCCTCCCAACAAGGCTACTCATGGGCTGGGTTTAGGCTGGTGGGTGACGGACCCTGCAGGACTCCCAGAGAGGGACACACACACATTGTCTTTCGCAGATGGTTTATTGCGCTTGTAGTGGTTGCAAGACAGGAAGGGGGCGGAGGGGCAGCATGATCACCAGATGAACAGGGGCTTCCCGTCGGTCTGGGACAGCAGTCGGAGGCAGTTGAGCAGGATCAGGCAGTCAGCCACCTTGTCCTGGGGCACCACGCTGGTAATCACCTCGTGCAGGTAGCTTGGATCGTTGTACAGCTGAGCTTCAGAGCCTGAGGCGTCGGGACGCTCACGGAGGATGCCGTAGGTGTTCACAATGTGCTCTGTGAACTGGGGGTGGAAGGTGGGGTTGTAGTTCTGCGGCTTCAGGCGGTTCATGATTTCATTGTAGCGTTCCATCATGGCCGTCCGCTGTTCTGCGGTCAGGGGGTTGACGGTGTCATTTTCAGCCTGTGGGGAAAAGAGGCAAATCTTCAGTCTCCTTCTCCTCGTCTTTGGGGTGCTCAAGATCGGCTGCCCAGAGCCCACTCTGCCCCTTGGGTAGCAAGCAGGAGACCCGGCACCCGTGCTGATGGCAGTAACCATACAGCCACGGGAATCCTGGAATTGCCTGGCACTCCAGTGCCGCTGATCCAAGGAGATCCCAAGGTCCCCTGCAGGGCCAGAAGTCCTGGGGCTCCTGCATTAATAAGGTCTCCAGGCATCAACAGGGTGAGCATCAGCTCTACTGGCACCTCTTTCGCCTTGGTGCTCCTTGCCAGTTTCCCGTTTTTGTCTCTCTCCCCACCTGAGGTAACCCACAGCTGATGTGGATGGTGTGTGAGTAGCCCAAGCCTTCATGTTTCTGATAACCCTGTAAAGCCCACTCTGGGTGTTACGTAAACCTTGGAGTGTTATGAGTTTGACACCGACTGCTAAGTGAGATTTCAGACCCTCCTCATGAGATCAGTGTGTCTGCTGTGGCCCCGCAAAAGGTAGAGGGCCTAAGGGCCGACAAACGGCCATGCTTGCCTCACCTGCATTATTTTCTCAGGGATGTTGCCAACAGTAAAGCCGTAGAGGCGGACTCGGTCAGGGAAGATGCTGGAAAGGATGCGGCGGTCCAGCTGGAAGGCCACCTCCCCCACGATACGTTCAAAGGTCGCAGCCTTGGAATCTGAGGAGACCAGAATCCCCGATCAGCCTGAGAGGCCCCCAGCAGCCCCCGCCTTCTTCCTGGCTGTGGCCAAAGGAGTCTCTTCCCCTGGGGAAGACTGATCAGTTGATTTTCTTGACCTGAGTTTTGTGCCATCTGAGTCCAGATCGACTTTGGGTGGTTCATAATATCTCAGGAGAAGATTTAAAAATGCAGCATGCAGAAATCAACAAGCAAGGGGTGTCCCTTGTCATCCAGGAAACCTCTTTCAGAGGGGCTCCTTCACAGACCACCCGGGGGTCAACTTGGACTCTAGGGACCAAATGGTAGTCGACTTATGACCGTAATACAACTTGGAACTTCTGTTGTAAATCTTGACGGTCATAAGCCGAGGCACTCATGTGACTGACCCAATTTTATGACCTTTTGGGGGACAGTTGTAAAGCAAACACAACAGAGTCCATTCATTCCTATGGGTGCTTTTTGCTGGAAACCATCATAAATCACGGTCACATGACTACGAAATACTGCAATTGGCCATAAATGTGAGCCCGTTGCCTAGCACCTGAAATGCAGTCATGTGATCATGAGGGGGAGGGTTTGCTGCCATCAGAGCTCTGGAACCAAGTGGTAAGTAATTTTTTTTGGGGGGGGATGTCCATCGTTTTTGGTAAACAGCCAGTTGTTTGGCGAGGACTCCCTGTGCTTGTTATTTGCGTATCAGCCTCCTTGCTGCACCACACTGTCCATGCTGGAGCTGCTGCAGTGCTGGGAGCACCGAGGGTGCTGGTGGAGGAGGTCCCCAGGCTTCTGGTGCTGGGAGACTTCACCTGCCATCCTGGAGTATGGACTGAGAGGCAGCTTCAGAGTTCGTGACCACCAAGACCATCGTGGCTGTCCCACTCGCTACGGAGGCCACGCGTGAGGTGTTTGCCTTGGGGCGGTGGCAATGTGATCCGGAGCTGGGGGAGGGGTGTCTTGCCATGGATAGATCATTTCCTACTGGCTCAGGAAATGTGGTCAGCTCTCCCCACAGGGAGTCAAGGTGCTCTTGAGGGCCATGTAGGATGGACTTTGTAATACTTGCAATATGGTTTTTGTAATAATTGCACAGGCTAACTAACATGGGTTTCATTGCATTTCAAATTTGCCTTTTTCAAATGTATCCGATACCTCTGCCAGTCCTGGTTAATCAAAGAAAGGCTTTAATTCTCCTTGAAGATGGTGGTGGCGCAGCAGTTAGAGTGCAGTACTGCAGGCCACTTTAGCTGACTGTGTTCAGCAGGTCAGCGGTTCAAATCTCACCGGCTCAAGGTTGACTCAGACTTCCATCCTTCCGGGGTAGGTAAAATGAGGACCCAGATTGTTGGGGGCAATGTAAATATATATATATACATTGCTTACTGGTGTACACCGCTTAGAGAGTGCTTGCACTTAAAGTGGTATATAAGTCTCATAAATAAAATAAATAAAATAAGATTAAGGCTTGTGGCAACTTACCAGCAATAAGTTGGTGAAAGGCAAATTTAAAATACAAGAAAACTAATGTTAGTTAGCCAGTGCAATAGTACTGCAAAACTCGTATTGCAAGTATTACAAAGCCCATCCTGTGTCGTCCTCACGCTCCAGGCCCCTGATGTACCTCACTGAATCCTGGAGGGAGCTGAGGGTTGGGCTTCCTGGGCTCTGAGGCGCGGCTGAGCAGCTCAGGCTCAAGTTGCCACGTGGGATGAGAGGGGGGACCCGGGCCGTGACTTAGACTGCACCCAGGGGGCTCTTTGTGCCAGTGGGTCTCACGGCGTCCCCCGGTTTTCTGAGGTGATGGAAAGGCATAAGAGACACCTAGAACGCTGCTGGAAGGAAGCAAAAGGTGGCCCAGCCCAGGTGTTGAGCCTTCCTTAATGACTTCCCTGTGGCACTAATGATAGGGAAGCAGAGTCCTTTTGCGTCCAGTTTAGAGTGACTGGGTCCTTCCAGGGCAAGAAGGGGCCAAGGGAAGCCCTGCAAGACCACGGTAAAGAGTATTCAAGGCACCCATCAGATCCTCTGGTCCAAGTCACTTGGATTCATCGGAGCTGAAATTCAGCTGCCCAGTCCTGAGGATGGTCTGCCGGGTGACCTGAGAATTTCAAACCTTTTGGCTCTGAAGCATACAAGACCTCGTGAGAGCAGTCTGGGGTAGTGGTTAAGGCACCAGGCTAGGAACGGAGACAACGAGTTCTAGTCTTGCCTTAGCCACCACATCCAGCCGGGTGACTTTGAGCCAGTCCCTCTGTCTTAGCCCACAATGTGCAGATCAGGCGACAAGCTGGTTGGTCAGCTCCTGTTGCAACCAATGGATCAACATTTGGTTGATCCTCAAAAGTGGACACTGCACTTGCAGGAAAATGCTGGGAGAAGGGGAAGAGGAGGAAGAGGAGAAGGAAGAGGAGGAGGAGGAGGAAGCATGCAGGGTCCTCAGAACTACAAGCTCAGCCATCTCTATCCCTCCAGGTGGAATTAAGCTCTCCCAGGAGCTGGCAGGGAGTTAGGAATATTATTGTTGATTTGAATGTTCTTTATGCTGTAGGTGGCCCAGAGTCACTTGGTAGCGAGATGGGCAGCAAATAAATTTTATCATAAATAATGTAATACTCTCTGCAGGAGAGGCGTTTTCTTCTGCCCTGAAGGAGACGGTGGCCCACCCTTCTTTGAGAGACACCCCCCCCCGGACCCAGCCCATCAGGACATGGTTTAAGCACCAAAGTGGCAGCATTAACGGTGGTTGCCAGGGTCCTCTGCAGACCTAGGCCTGGGGTGGGGGGTGCATGGCTCTTGGATAGCAGTTTTTAATGCTGTCACCCATGGAACTTTCTGGGCCCCTGGGGGTTGGGAAGGGGGGCATCACGTTACATCTCCTTTTTTCCCAGCCAGTTCCAGCCACGGGCAGAATTCTCCCCCACCTTCTTTAGCATCTCCTGAGGCTGCTGGGTGAGGCAGCTGGTCAGCCTGGGCTGAGCCATCAACCAGAGTAATTTAGGTCCTTTCCCAGTGCCTGGAGGCGGTAAGCATCTGGAGGGCAGAGCGCGGTGTCTCTTCTGGGGTCCTGGGGGATCTTCCATCTGTAGCTCTGGGTGGAGGTCCTTCCCCCAGTCAGTGTGCAGTCTTGTGGCTCCCGCTTGAAGAGCAGATGGCAACGGGGCCCAGGGGGCTTTGGGTATATCTTGGGTATCATCCGTGGTTCCTCATGTCTCAGTCACCTCCTGCTTAGGCTTCTGTAACAGAGTCCACAGCGGGCTGCCCTTGAAGCACACTTGGCAGAGGCAAAATGCTGCAGTATGGGCAGTTTGGGGCCTTCCTCACTGCACCTACATCATTCCACTGCCCCATTAGCTACCCTGCGTCCCAGCAGGTGATTTAGGGTGCTGGTTATCAGTTATCAAGCCCTCCAGAGCAGGGTCAGATTTCTTGTGGGACCACCTCTCTCTCCCCCACTGTTTCTGCTGGATCCACCAGACTTAACAGACAGGGCACAAGCAATGCCCTCTTGTTGGGCCTGGGAGTCAGGCATGGAGACCATGGAGACCTGGGTGGGCCCAGCCCTGTTAGCCATTCAGGAGACGCTGAGCTTACGGAGGGATTTAATCAAGTGGTTGGGGGAGCTCAGCTGCTCCTCCAATCATTTTGTTTATGAGGGGGTGGTGTCTTGTTTATCCATGGGCGCCAAGGGCTGTCTGCGGCTGGGGAGAGGGTCTGTGTGCTAGTCACCCTGACACCCTGCATCCCGAGGCCCTGCCCTCTTGCTCTGCCACCTCAGCTGCCCTTCTCCCTCTTCTTCTTTCAGTTGCCGATAAGGGGTACCCGCCCAGCCCTTTGCCAGGACCTGCCACAGGCGACCTCAGGAGGAAAGTCCACAAAGGGCCCGCCTGGGTGTGCGTAGTCAGCCACAGAGCAAGGAGTCCACAAAGCACAAAAGGGTATAGATATTTTTAGGGGGGAGAGAAGATAGGTGAGGGGGGGAGTTGAAGCAACCCTGTGGTGGGGATGGGCTGCCAAGCACCCATATTTTGATCACATGACCCACCCCTAATGAAACCACAACTGTGCTGGTGAACTTACTTCAGCTTTCGTTTGCTTTACAGACCTGTGAAGTAAATGCGAGGATCGGTCATAAAGGTTGCAACTGTGAACAGTTCCCGAAGGTGGCGGTCCCTGAACGAAGACCCCCTTCCTTCTGTGGGAGCCCCACTTAGAATAAATCAAGGGGCACGCCTGCACACATCGCAAGCGACCCCGGGGGAATCCTCTGGCCAGGATGAAACCAAGCCAACCCCTTTATGCACCTCTTGAATATCTGATCTATTTCTCTGCCATTTGCCTTGCAGAGGGTTCTCTGGGTCTTTTTGGCATATATTTCTACGCCAAAATTAAAACAAAAGACCACTTTCTTTAAAAGAGCGGGGGAGGAAAACAGGGGGGCCTCTAGGAAGTTCTGGCTGAAAGAAATCTGGTGAGTTGATCCCGGGGTTTCCTTTCCTTTTGGGGAATGGGGTGCTTCCGGGCATTTGGGTGACATGAGCTCTTCTCAGAGAAAATGGCTAGGCTGTCCCTTTTCATGCTTTTGGTGGGTCCAAAGGGCGCTGCCCCCCAGGGGCTCATCTTCCTCTGCCACAGCCCGTTCTTCTCGCCTGCTCCTTGGCCTCGCCTGCCTGGGGAACCAGCTTCCCTGGCTGATGGCAGTTCCCCCTCCCTCCCTTCCTTCCTGGCTGCCTTCTTCCTAGGGTCAGAGAGAGGGACTCGCCCAAGGTCACCATCAGGCTGTGTGTCTAACACAGGAGTAGAGCTCCCTGTCTCCAGAGTTTTAGCCTGACACCTCCGACTCTCTCCAGGAATCGGGTGTGGAGCCATATCTTTGTCCCCTGAGGCCTAGCAGAAGGCATCAGGCAAAGGCCAGGGGAAGCACACCCGAAAGCAAAGATGGCTGTCGCTTGCTGTGTCCTCAGGGGCAAAGTCTTACCTGGCCAAGCTGAAAGGTGTGCCATGTATTATAACCTATAGTCAATCACGGGGAGAGCCTCCCTGGGGTTGACCCAGGCAGCCTTTGGAAAGCTGACCCATCTGATGGGCACGACTGCGTATGAGAGCGCCCAATGCCCGGGGTTCCTGATAGCCAAGGGAGAGGAAAGATGGCCCTTTTGCCACAAGGGAATCATCCAAAACCAGAAAACAAAGTCCAGTCTTTCCCTGGACTGGCAGGGAACTCCAAACGTTTATCCATGTTTTTCTATCGAGGAACAAGCTCTAATACCCAACCAACAACAATCAAATGAGCCAGGAGGTGTTTGACCACATCTACAAGGTACCTTGTGCCAGGCCAGGGGATCTGATTTCATTCCTCCCCGCCTGCCCCCCACCATCTTCCAAGCAGATGCCTGGCTCGGATCTGTGCTGCCCCAGGACAAGGATGGGCGGATCATCTGGGGACCTCTCGGTCACTCTCAGAGGCCTCAAAGGTAGCCCGACTGGGGAGGAGGCCTTGGAGCAGGCCCTACAGCTGTGGCCCACCGGGGGGCAGCCCCCTGTGGGCTGGCATGGCTGAAGGGAGCAGGGCTGCAGGTGGACTGAGCTCTACCTACCCAAAGTGGCAGGGAACCCCAGTTTTTTTGCCCAGGGGGAGAGGGCCAAAGGAGCTGGCATTCTTCCCTGCAGCCCAGAGTGCCGTGCCGGCCCCTCCAGTCTCGAGCAGTTAGGCTGAACCTGGCAGAGGCATTCTGGGTGCTTTGGGGCCAGGGGGAGCCCCCCATCCCTGACTGCTCTTCCTTCCCCCTCCACAGACCCTTACCTTTGCTCATGGCACTGGCTTGTGTGCGTCGATCACTCTTCTCAGCGGGCTCTGGGCTGAGGGCTTGGCTTATGGGGCTGGGCAGGACGGGAGGAGTGACAGGTCTGGGACTCATGACTGGGACGGGTGAAGTGGCCAGTGGGGAGAATTGGATGGGCGATGGGACACAAATGGTGCCAGGAGAGCTAGCTGGAAGTAATGGGCTGAGGAAGCTGGAGGGGGCACTGAAGAAGAGTGGGCTGCTAGAGCTGGTGGTGCTGGCTGGGACCATTGACCCATAGAGGCTGGAGACGTAGCTGGCTGGGAACATGGGGCCGTACAGGCTGGATGTGTCGGGGGAGCCGGCCGGGGGCACTGGCAGAAAAGGGCTGGTGGCGCCCAGGGAGCTGTAGGGGCTGGGGATCGTGCCGATCGAAGTGTCTGGGGCCAGCGAACTGAAGACACTGGTGCCACTGGAGGCAGATGAGCCGGACGGGGTCATTAGGCCACCAGAAATACTCATTGGGCCTGCTAGCGCCATCGGCCCATAGAGGCTGGACATGTCTGGGGACCCTGGAGCCAGTGAAAAAAAAGGGCTGCCATCGGGAGTGGCAATTGTGCCAACAGAGCTGCCAGGGCTGAATGGACTGCAGGTGTCTGGCTGGGAGAAAATGCCAGACGGGGAATAGGGAGAAAATTGGCCAGGACTGTATGGGGCTTGGTTGGGGTCCCCCCCGAGATTATAGATGTTTCCAGGGAAGCGTAAATACTGGGAGAGGTTCGGTGGGGAGATGCTGGGCATGGGAGGCAGTGGCAGCCCAGGTGGCCGAGGCCGGGGGGGCTTCCCAGGGTCAGATCCAGTGCCAGGTCCCGAGGGAAAGAGTTCAGAGGAGAACTGGGAAAAGGGGTCACTGATAGGGGGTGGGAGCTGCAAACCGCCATAAGAATCCCAGGAGGGGACCATGTAGGAGGGAGGGCAAGGGCCACTGCCAAAGACAGGCTGGATGGGGCTTGAGGTCTCGATGGGCTGGAAGGGGTATTGTTGGGTGGGGTAGGTCATTGAGGGCATGTCCCTAGAGCCGAAAGGGGAGCTGAGTTGGGATATCAGCTGGGTGCTGGGCAGGCCACTGCCAAAGACGGAGGTGAGTTGCGACAGGTTCTGTGTGCTGGGAGCCTCAGGAGTCCCTTGACCACTGGGATAGAATGTCCCACCTCCTTCCCCAGAAGTGGGCTTCATGTACATGGAGGGTAGCTGGGAGACCTGCTGGGTGCTGGGCAGCTCGGGGCTGCATGGAACACTAGGGAAGGTGAATATCCTCGTTCTTGGTCTAACAGTGGGCTTCATGTAGAGGGAGGGCAGTGGGGAGAAGCTCTGCATGCTGAGCGCCTCGGGACTCCCTGGAGCACAGGGCATGGAGAAAGTCCCCCCTCCCTGGGCAGGCTGGATGGGGCTTGAGGTCTCGATGGGCTGGAAGGGCTGCTGCTGAGTGGGGAGGGTCATTGAGGGCATGTCCCCTGTGAAAGTGACCTGTTGGGTGCTGGGCAGCTCAGGGCTGCATGGAACACTAGGGAAGGTGAATATCCTCGTTCTTGGTCTAGCAGTGGGCTTCATGTAGAGGGAGGGCAGTGGGGAGAGGCTCTGCATGCTGGGCGCCTCGGGACTCCCTGGAACACAGGGCATGGAGAAAGTCCCCCCTCTCTGCCCAGCAGTAGCAGGCTGGGTAGGACTGAGGAAGGCAGAGGGCAGCTGGGAGATCAGCTGGGTGGAGGGCAGGCTGCTGCCAAAGACAGAGGTGAGCTGCGACAGGTTCTGTGTGCTGGGCGCCTCGGGACTCCCTGGAGCACAGGGAAAGGGAAAAGTCCCCCCTCCCTGCCCAGCAGTAGCAGGCTGGGTAGGGCTGAGGAAGGCAGAGGGCAGCTGGGAGATCAGCTGGGTGGAGGGCAGGCTGCTGCCAAAGACGGAGGTGAGCTGCGACAGGTTCTGTGTGCTAGGCGCCTCGGGACTCCCTGGAGCACAGGGAAAGGGAAAAGTCCCCCCTCCCTGCCCAGCGGTAGCAGGCTGGGTAGGGCTGAGGAAGGCAGAGGGCAGCTGGGAGATCAGCTGGGTGGAGGGCAGGCTGCTGCCAAAGACGGAGGTGAGCTGCGACAGGTTCTGCGTGCTGGGTGGCTGGAGACTGCCTAGAGTGCTGGGGATGGAGCATGTCACCCCTCCTTGCCCAGCAGTGGGCCTGATGGGGCTGCCGAAGACGGAAGTCAGCTGGGAGAGGTTCTGGGTGCTGGGGAGCTCGGCAGTGTCAAGATACCACTTGGGCAACACTTCATCGCCGCGGATGGAGATCGTCCCCCTTCCTGGTCCAGCAGTGGGCCTGGTGGGACTGTAGAAGACGGAGGGCAACTGGGAGAGGTTCTGGGTGCTGGGGAGCTCGGCAGTGTCAAGATACCACTTGGGCAACACTTCATCGCCAGGGATGGAGACCGTCCCTCTTCCTGGTCCAGCAGTGGGCCTGGTGGGACTGTAGAAGACAGAGGGCAACTGGGAGAGGTTCTGGGTGCTGGGGAGCTCGGCAGTGTCAACATACCACTTGGGCAACCCTTCATCGCCGGGGATGGAGAACGTCCCCCTTCCTTGTCCAGCAGTGGGCCTGGTGGGACTGTAGAAGACGGAGGGCAGCTGGGAGAGGTTCTGGGTGCTGGGGATCTCAGAGCTACCAATGTACCAGTGGGGCATCCCCCCTTGAGAGCCAGGGATGGAGAATGTCCCCCCTACCTGCCTGGCAGCAGGAAGGTTGGGCAGACTGCTGCCAGGGAAGACGGGGGTGAGCTGGGTGCTGGTGAGGTTGCCGGGGGAAATGAAGGTCCCGCCTGGCTGTGTGGTGGCAGGCAAGTTGGGTAGACTGGCTGGCATGGTGAGGGGAAGCCCTCCCCCAGGGGTAGAGGGACCTGGCAAGTGGGGGTGCCATGGGATGGGGCACTCAAAGCAGTAGCCCCGCGGGACAATTGAGCTGCCGCTGCTCCGCTGAGAAGCATTTTGAAGCGAGATTGTTGCACCGCCAACACCTGCAGGATGGAGAGAGAGAGAGAGAGCAATGGAGGTGGTAGCATCTAATGGGGGCAGGAAACAGCTATTCCCCCCCTTAATCTGGTGCAGCCAAGTTACCTTCTCAGTGGGAACACATTTTTCCTTTGGACTACTCATTCAGCAACTATTTGAAGTTACAACAATGCTGAAAAAATGGATTTATGAATGGTCCCTGAAGTTACAGCTGTGGTAGTGTAATGATCACATGATCAAAATTCAGATGCTAGGCAGCTCCCCCCCCCACACTTACAACTGAAGTATGTGAGAATTGTTAAGGCACCATACCAGAAACCATGGTTTTGCCATGAAAACTGACCAGGTGACTTTGGCCCAGTCGTTCTCTCTCGCAGGGTTGCTGTGGTGGGGGAGGAAAAGCATATGTTTGCTGCCTGGGCATAGAATGGGGCAACTTGGCCGCGGTGAATTGTCATAGACTCCCCCTGGGCAAGCCTGCAGCCTTGGCATTCCTGTGGTCAGCGCAGAGTCTCATCTGCCAAGGGGAGTTTGCTAGGCCCGCCAGGCTGGGGGGGGGTGAGCCCAGGCTCTTTCCATCATTGGGTGAGGCTGGAGAGCCAGTGGCAGCTCAAGAACCGAGGGCACAGGCTGGCCTGCCCCCTTGGCCAGTGCCTGGACCAGCCACCGGGCGGGGGGAGACGATGGCAAAAAGGCAGCCGGCAGAGGGCAGGATGGGCTCCATTAGGATTGTAAGTCAAGGGCTCTCTGTACTGAAAGACAGAGCAGCAGAGATGTCAGCATCCACGACGCCTCAGGAGATGCTGCCTGTCCCCAGAAGACCAAGGGAGACTCCCCTTTGGCTATCACCAATTCAAAAGGCTACAAGAACTGAGGGAGACCCCGAGATACGGCAAGCGACAGAAGATGCAGTCAAGGTTCCGATAGCAAATCTGGAGAAGGACCAGTTTTGGAAGAGCCTCATAGCAGGAGGTGAAGAGCATTGATCCATTTGAACTTGGGGGTGGGAGAAGCTCCTCAGAATGTCAGGGATGCCAAGACCTCAGACAAACCAGACCAGGATGAAGCAAAAATGACCAGATTCAAACTCGCCTCCATCAGACACATGAGCAGAAGAACCCTATCTCTCTCCCAGGCACAGCTCCACTGCTGGGAATAGCCCGAGAAGAAGAGGTGACCAGCACTGGGGTCTCTGGACTCCCTTGCTGACCGGATCTAAAGACCAGAGTGAAGGCAGATGGCCATGGAGAAACTCTATGTGGTCATGAAGGGCTGACAGTGACGATGGCAGATAACCAGTTAATTTTCTTTTAGGAAACACCTGAAGGTGAAAATACGCAGATCCTCCAACCCTATTAATTACACTTAGTTCAACTGTCTTTTGTAAAACAGAGCATCTGCCTACAACTCGAGGCGCTACTGTGCAAATTCCTATGAAACATTGCTTGGTCTATTTTATATCACACTTATGTCACCACAATCATCCCAACTTGGGATTTGTTAATATTTAATCCAAGGCTTTTAACCTCCAGAGTCACCCCCCACCCCCACCCTCAAAAAGGTCCAGCTTTTCCCCCAGACAGGGGTGTGCGGTGGCATCAGCCGTCGTCGGTCTTGGGCTCCAGATTGAGAGGGCGAGACAGAGCCAGTCCTTTCTAGACCTTTATTGCCTTTAATGGGTGTGCACAATAAGGAGGGATGGGGGGGGGTTGTCACCAGATGAAGAGGGGCTTCCCGTCCTCCTGCGAGAGCTTCTGGAGGCAGGTCAGCAGCAGCAGGCAGTCCTCCACCATCTCGGGGGGAGCCACACTCCTCACTACCTCCTCCAAGTGCTGGATGTCGCTGTAGGCGGCTGCCTCGGGGCTGGTGGCTTCTGGCCGCTCGCGAACGATGCCGAAGGTGTTCACCGTGCGCTCCGTCAGGCCCGGGTGGACACTGGGGTCATAGCCCAGGGGCTTCAGGGAGTCCATGATGCTCTTGTAGCGCTGCATGATGGTGTCGGACTGCTCCTGGCTCAGCTGCAGAAAGGGGTCCTTTTCTCTCTGGGGAGAGACGGGGAGCATAAGATGGGTGGGGGGCAAGAGGCACAGCCTGAGCGTCACTTGGGGCCTCCCAAAGAGAGAGTCCCCTAACCAGGAGAGATGAGAGCCATGGCTGCCCCCCCTTCCGAGGGAGCCCGGGAAAGCAGCCTCTGTGGGCGGGGCAAGGGCAGGGCTGAGTCCAGCCATGGGGGGCAAACTACCTGACCTACCCTGCACCCTGCTGGCTACCGGAGAACCTGGGTGGGGGCTGTGTGCTTTCCCCATGCAAAGCCCCAAAGGTCACTCCAGGTGGAGTCACAGAAGGGGGTCATGTGGCTGCCCCAGACTGAGGAGCCAAACAGGCCGTTGCCACACCTCCCAGGGTAGAAAGCATCTCCTCCTGCCCTGCAGATGCCCTCCTGGGGTAGGGACAGGCTGCAAGGGGGGGGGGTCGCTTCACCTGTGAGATTTTCTCAGGGATGTTGCGAACGGTGAAGCCGTAGAGGCGGAGTCGATCAGGGAAGATGCTGGAGAGGATGCGGCGGTCCAGCTGGAAGGCCACCTCGCCCACAATGCGCTCTTGCTTGTTGGCTTCTGCAAGAGAAGGCCAATCAGCAGCGACCCTTGCAGCCCCGGCTGTGGCCCCTGGCAGCCCCTCCCACAGCTGGGCTGGCTTCTCTCTCAGGGACCAGGAGCTGCCCCTCCCAGAGCCTGGTCATCACTGAGGGGAGGGGGAAAGACGCTGCTGAGAGCCAGTGGTGAGCAATGGTCGTGGGTGGCCTGGCCTGGCCAGGACCCCTCCCTGCTCCATGCATTTCTGTGCTCCAAAGCGGGGGGGGGTGATGGGGGCTGGGAAGGAGGCAGGTTCAGGATGACTTGGGCATCACCTCGCCCTGGCAGGGAGAAGGAAACAGGGACAGCCGGAGGCTGCGTTGAGCCAGTGCCATGGGTGAGGGTGCCATCCGGTATCTGGGCACAAGGCCAGCCAGGCCACAGTCAAGGGGGCAGAGCAGCGGGGCGAGCAGGGTGGGGGTGGGACCCTACCAGGAATGGGGCTGGGGAACACCTGCTTTTAATTCCATCTGGAATTTGACAGAGTAACTTGGAAGTATGTTGCTCTCGGTTTCTTGCCTGGGCCAAACTTTTTAGCGTGGAAGGAGCCACGGGGCTCCCAGCATAGCAGAGTCCTCCTGCACCCCTCCACTAGGTGACCACCCTCTCCTCTGGCCTGGGCCCAGTCTCTGGGGCAGAGGGTCCTAGGCTCTCGCACCCCCCCGCCACGGCTCACTCGCCCGCCGCTCTCACCTTGCTCTCTGGCACCGACGGTGCTGCTGCTGCTGTCTGCGGCACCCTCTCGCTGGACCGAGCCACTGCTCTCCTTCGACTGCAGGGCGGGCGGGGGCTGCAGGCCTCCCTCTGGAGCCGGGGGCTCGCCCTTCCCGACCTCAGGCGGCGGGGCCGAGATGGGAGGGGCCACAGGGAGTGGCGGTCGGGCAGTGGGGTGCTGGCTGTCCTGCAGCAGGGGTGGAAGGGCGCTCTGGACCTGAGCGGCGACCAAGGGAGCACCGCCACCCGCCGCACCACCTGCCCCCATCCAAAAGGCGAGGGGCAGTGCCTGGGCAGGCACGGGGCCTCCTTGGCTGAAGCCGAAAGCCTGGTAAGCGGCAGGGCTTCCACAGGCGAAGGGTCTGGGCGCTGGCGGAGAACGCTGGGCACCAGGCTGGGGCCAGCAGGGGAGGAAACCCGGGGGGGTGCTGTTTGGGAAGGCAGCGACGGGGTTGCTGGGTGCGGCTGGGGACAAGGTCGGCAGGTGTGGGTGCCACGGGAAGGCGCACTCGTGGCAGTAGCCACGGGAGCCGGAGGGATGGAGGGAGATGGGAGGGGCGGCCGGGATGGCGAATTTCGGGCTGGAAGCGCCGCTGGCTGCAAAGAACAGAGAGAGCGTCTTCTGAGCGAGCGCTGGGCATGGCAGTGCAGAACAGGGGGCTCTCACTCACTCCCCAGAGGCCTAGGGGTCTTCTCCAGTGCTTTGGGGGAAGGGAAGGATACCTCTGTATTCTGTCCCTATAGATCACCTACCGCCCCCTCTAGCCCTGCTGCCTTCTGCCACCATCACACACACACACACACACACACGATTTGCTGGCTCAGCTCCCTTCTGCAGAGTCTCCTGGACACTCCTGCTCCTTTTCACTCAGCAGGCCCGGGTGCCGTTTCCTCACTGCGAACCTTATTTTTCTTTATTATACAGAGGGATGTAGCTCCCCCATGTACTCTCCCGAAGGAGCTCTGTACAGAGGGGGCACTCCTTAGGTGGGTGTGCTGGCTGTTGGGGCGTCCCCTTTCCTGCTCCCTCCAGCCCTGGGCAACCTGCCCCTACAAGGCCGGAAGCTGCTGGCGGAACTGCTGCCTTTTTCACCAGCACAAAACCTTCAGATTTCAGCAGAAAGTCCGGCTTCCAAGCTCTGGCATCCCAGCCATGACTGGCACCCCAGCTCTAGAGCAGGGCACGGCAGCGATGGCCAGAGCCCTCCTGGGGGCAGTGTCCTCCCAAAAGTGACCACAGAGATGCCCCCTGCCTGGAGGGCAGGGTGCAAGTGCGCACAGGTCTCCCATTGATCAAGCTGGAGGCAGCCGGTGATGCTCCCGGACAGAGTCCGTCCTTGGGCAGAAAAACAGGCGTGGTTGTGGGAATGAGGCCCAGGAAGAGTGGACCCGGGAAGTACAGCATGCACACCTACAGAGTGCTGCATCTTGGAAAGAGCAGAGGCGGGAATGCTACTCGCCTTTCCTGGGCCTGTGTGCCCGGAGCCCCCCCCCATTTGCAGCCAAATGCATGCTCCGACTGATCGCTCTGCTTGTAGGTGACCACGTTTCATCTCTGGCATCTGAAATCCCCCTCCCCTTCGTTTCATTTGCATTTTAACTTCATCCAACTCCACATTTTAAAACCCACAGGAACTAAAACTGTTATCCTTCAAAAT